ACTTATACACGAGCCGCAATCTTTGATTACAATGTCGTCGTCAAACGTATATGGGCGTCTTGCCTTTACCTGAAAAATAATATGGCACACGGCCTGAGTAATACTTAATAAGTGACCCCACTATAAGTGTCATGCTAATACAATCATGATTTAGAACCTATCTCTAGCTCATCTAAGGGTGACCTTCGGTCTCAGACAAATTGGATGTGTTGTACTTCCTCACACACGACCCACACGTGTGAGTGTGAATCCTCAAGGTGCTCGCACACTCCCTAGACCCTCTAGTCAAGCTAATCTATAGCGACATCCAGAGATGAGCGGAACCCCATAGTATCATGCTCTCCATGAACACCCTGCTCATCACACTATGCGCGTTCGCACTCATCCTCTCTAGAGGAAGTATCCCTATGCTTATGAAGATACAATAGCATGAGGTCCCTCTAAATCCATCTTATCATCTCTTCTAACCCAACTCTAATCTCATCTCTTTGATACATTAAGTAACACATGCTCGTTGGTTAGTTATATTAACATCGTTCTCATGCTCTTAGGGTTGTATCATATGTTGATCAAACAATATTATGTAACATGACACTCATTATCATATAACATGCTCAATATGGAAACATCATCGTATTCACCATAATGCCATAAAGTGCATTAAACATATCATGTACCTCATGCATCGAAACATAAATCACGTACCTATAACATACATTACAGCTCAAATATCATACTCATACATCACCAAAACATCATATATAATCATATTCATACACCATCATGCTCATAAATAAGGCTATCCTATAGTAAGGCCAATTGGTTTGCCTTAGGCGAAGTACTCTTTAATTTAATTAACGTAAGCTCCGGTTCTTCAAGAGCTCCTCCAAAAGTTATCCGGAGTTGACTCTTATTAGAACGTTTATCTTATTTACGTTAATAACTCATATTTATATCATAAATGAACTTAAATCTAGGATAGAGTCCTATAGTGACCTTATTTTCCTTAAATAGGGTCACGAATGTGTTCAGAAGGATCGAAAACCTATGAAACCGTATACTACATGTCTATACGAGCCGAACACGCATTTTTTGAGCCGAGAAGCCGCGCGGCGTTAAGTCGAAGGAGTCGGCGTTCACATGCGCGACACGTGTCTCTGTGCGAGAGGAGGCGCATGTCGGGTGGAGTTCCGCGTCAAGGCTGCGAGGGAACCCGTGATGGGCTGTCGGTTTACTGGGCCGAAGGGCCGTCGATTGTATGCGCGACATGTGTCACCTTCGGGAGGCGACGCGTCACAAACTTCGAAACGGACACGCGTGTTGGGTCGTCGGATTTAACGGGCCGAATGTCTGCATGACTGACACATCGGTCGTCAGATTTAATGGGCCGACTGCATGAGTGTGGTGTCTGCATGAATGACACATGGGCCGTCGGATTTAATGGGCCGACTACATGAGTATGGTGTCTGCATGAATGACACATGGGCCGTCTGCATGAGTGTGGTGTCCACATGAACGACACATCAGCCGTCGGATTTAATGGGCTGCTGCAGGTTGGGTTTTCTAAAGACGCGGGTATCCCATTCGGGTCCGACCCGGATCCATCGGATTCATCTTCCTTACCCGACTCAGCGCGATTCATCTCCGGCGCCATTTTCTCTCTCCTCTGCACGACGGTTTCCGACGTCGTTTTCCTCCCTTTTTCTCTGTCGAATTCTCATTCTCTCTCCCACGACGTTTCGTGGTTGTTGGAAGTCTGTGGAGGTGGATCGGGCATTCTCCCACTCTCTCCGACGGTGACGATGACAAGGCACGGCGTGAATCCTCTCTGGGTGGATATACTAAGGCCGGTGAGGGTTTTCCTGGTGGGTGTACTTGGTATTGGGTAAGAAGGGAGGTTTTCGATGTCGCCGGAAAAAGTCTCCGTTCCTCTCTATCTCTCTTCTGTTTCTTTGCTGCAGGTGTTTCTGTGGCTTTGTTGCAGGTGTCATCTAACTTTGGAGGTAAGTGAATTTATTTTATTTTATTTATTTATTTTAATTCAGATTAAAATTAATTGATGTTAAACCAAATGATTATATATAATTTATTTGCCTTATCTATAATATGTTTTGTCTACTGTTCTTTCCATTTATCACTATTTTCATCTACCGGAGTTTATTTGATTATAAATATATAACTTTTATACGCTATAAGCGTGCTAGATTAAGCAAATATTCTCAACGTAACTTTGTGTATGAAATATAGTATGAAAACTTTGAGTATGAATACAGATCGTTTAAAATATGGTAGGAAGACTTTGAGTATGAATACAGATCGTTTGAAATGTTCTACGTTCATAGAGTCATTAATTACTTCTCCAATGAGTACAAATGTATATAGTCACGATATATTATTGGATTCTTTTATATATATAGTTTTAAATGCGTGAGCGTGTGCTAATCTATAAATAAATCTAAGGAGCACGCTAACGAGCTCACTCAATAGGTCCATGTGTATGTGTGTGAACCGCGCATGTAGTGAAGTATTATGCCAATTATATTTCAAAATTTTTAAATAAACATTTGAAATGTGTTAAAAATAAATGAAATAAAAAAATTCGTAGCTCGGGCATAACTTTGAATACTATTCCAAAATCAAATTAGAATCATGATGGAATATAAGTTATAATAAAACTCTAATCAAAAGTTGCAATAAGGAAAATCAAAATTTTGGCAAATATTTTTATTTATTTGTCTTAATAGGTGTGTCAAATGAATATATATATATATATATATATATATATATATATTTATCTATTTAAATTGACATTAATTGAAGTTAACAAGAGACAAATATATTATATTTTGATTCCAATCATTTTTTCTTAGGCTCTCGCACATTATTATTTGGTCCATCACAAATCATCACATTATTATTAATCATAAAATTACATATTATAAATTAATGAATCCGTAACATAGCTATTAAGCTTTGTAATATAGAATGCTCAAATTCAATTGGTTAGCTCTAAATATAATCAAGTCGAAGCTGAGAAGAAAGATCGAAACACTTTGTAGATTGAATCTTCGATAAACTAGAACTCAAAGATATATCCTTAATTACAGGTGGAAGAGTCTTAAGAAACTAAAACAAGAGTCTAACCTTCAAATCAAATATACACGAGAGTAAGAATTAGAAGACCATATATTAAAAACGATAATATTCAATAGATTAAAAGTTTATTATCTTCAAGTAGTACGACCCCAATATTTTTAACAAACTTAAAGCTTAAGACTTTTTCACAAATATTTTTAAACAATTCAAATATAAAAAATATTAGTCTAGAATTCAAATCCTACGTTATTTTATTACAATTTGTAAACCTAATTTATTTCGTATCCGAAAGTAATTTTTAGAAAATTTCATAAATTTAATATGAAGAAATTCATAAAATATTGGTGGTAAAAAAAAAAAAAATCAAAATATGAAAACCTAATAACATAATAAAAACAATTAGAGTAAAACAAATAAGAAAAAAACTAAAAACAGTACTTAATTCTATTTTTAATTTTAATCATTTTTTAATCTACACTCTCGGGAGCCCGGGAGAGGAGAGAGGTTGGGATCATTAGTTGAACCCTAATTTAATCTTATTTATTTATTCATCTTATTATTTATCTCAAATCAAATTTAAAACCAAATTTATTTTTATTAATAGATAAATAAAAATATTAAAATCAAATAAATTTAAGAATAAAATAAAGGGTAAATTAATAAAAATATGCCTAGGGTATTATTTCAAAATTACTCTCAGACTTTTCCGAGTTTAAATTACAACTTTAAACTTTAAAAAAAAAAACTAAAAATATCATTAGTAGTTTATTTCAAAGAGTAAAAATACCCTTCACTAATACTCTTTAAATTTTAAAAAAAGTTCAAAAATATTCCTACGATTAATACTATATTTAAAAAAATACTCATGAAACTTTAAACGTGACATTAACATCCTTCACCTTTATAAGAAAATTTTAATTTTTTTTATACGATATTTCATATTATCTCCAAATTTTTAAAAATTTAAAGGCACTCTTGAAACCGTTTTGAAAGTTTAATGATATTTTTAAAATTTTTTATTGAAAATTCGAAAATCAAATTAACTATTTTCATCAGTATTATCATTATTTTTTTATTTAAATCAAGAGTATTTTTTAGATGATCTTTAAAAGTGAAGGGTACTAGTGAATGGTATTATTAAGACTTATTAGTTTAAACAAAATATAAAGTTGAAAATAGTAATTTTAATAGATGAGGAAAAAAAAATGAAAGGAAAAAAGAAAGTTAAAAAGTGGTTTAAATCTAAACTAATTTGTTATACAAAATCAGTTTAAGATTTGAATTAAGTGGGATGAGAGAGAAATTAAGAGAAATCTGGGAATAGGAGCCAGAAATAACGACAAACGAGAGATGAAAGTCAAAGGTGTGGTTCATCTCTGCATGTAAAGCGAGTTTCAGAGTGAAAGAGAAAGTCACAAAGAGACAGAAGACGTGGAATTAGAAAAAGAGGAGATGAAACCGAGGACTCGAGGGGGAGGGTACACACCGAGTGGGGATACCCTCCCCCTTTCTCTACCTTTGTCCTCTGTTCTCTGTCCTATGACTATCATCACTAAAAGTCGACCTTATTCATCTTTATCCATCCAAATTTGGCATAATATATGCTGCCTCATTGTCATTGATACTCAGATTCGTGTAGCCACAAGTATTCTCCTTTAAACTCAAACTCACTCCCAACAACTTCTTACTTTGTCATTGCTCTCTACGTGTTGATGAATGTCTCCGTTTTTGCTCCAAATAGTGCAAGGTGTTGCCTTCAACCCCATGCCTCTTCATTGTTTCAATCTCTTTTGGAAGCTCTCAAAGGTAAGATCTGACTTCCTTTTCTTTCCTTTTCTTTTAATGCCTTTCCATATCACATTTCTTCTTTTGCATTACTTTTTTGTTTCTTTTCAAGCACTCATTTTTGTAAAATTATTTCGCTTATATAAATTTCAATTCCTAAAACCCTTTCAGTTTTGGGCTACTCTCATCTGATTGTCACCTTCTCTTCTTACTTTGATTTCACTCACCTGTCTCTCTCTCTCTCCTTCTCACTCTCTCCTCCTTATTCTGTGTTTGTGTATCTGCATGTTAAGCTTCTAGCTTTATCTCTGCTCTTTTTGGTTGATCGTCTATTTCTCCAAAATTTGCTCCCTCAACTCCTCTCAAATCCAGAAGTTTCATCTCCCTCTGTGGGAAATGCATGAGATGGATCATTGGGTCCCTGATTCTCTCCCTAGTTTTGCCAAAAAACTTCATATCTTGGTGGTGGATCATGAAACCTTATCTCTCAAGCACTTGAGTTCATTGCTTAGGCAACAGTCTTACAATGGTACATAACATCACAATATTTCCATTAATCTCTTTCATCATCCTAATTTTAATTTTTTAAGCAACCGTCTAAAGCTAATATTATGCTTCTTTTTGTATCGGATAACATGTTGCAATCCTTAAAAGAAACTCAATGCATTTTCGTGCAAATAGTAAGCAAACTTAATGATAGAGCACAATCCCTTCCGCTCAATTTCTTCTTTTTCTTTGTCTCGAAATTAGAAATAAATTCAGACAAGTATAAGATACGAATGCATTCCTTATTTATGTTTCAATAAGACAAATTAGGTGTGTACCTGATCTATTATCTATCCATTTTCTCAAAGTATAATTGGTTTGCTAGTTCATTTGTGGGACTAGTTACTTCCTTTTCTATGAATTTAGTATGCATGACATGATTTTATTATTTTTTTTAATTTTTTTATTTTGTAATCTTCAGTTACGACCACTGGACTAGGATGTATTGCTCTATCAATGATTCAAGAAAAAGGTGATCAGTTCGACCTTGTCATGGCTAACGTTAGCATGCCTGATATGGACAGTTTTTCGTTCTTGCACATGCTCCTTAAGATGAATATTACTGTCATCTGTAAGCTCAATTTTGTTTTACTATCTCATTCAATTAAATGTCTTCATTATTCTCAAGTTATTTAGTTGTCGGGCAGTTATGTCTTCAACGATGAACTTGAAGGTGGCTACGAAAGCATTGGCAGAAGGAGCGTGTTATTTTCTTCAGAAACCTATTTCTAAAGATGATCTCAAATATGTATGGCAACACGTGTATCGCAGTAACATAAACATTGCCAAGTTAACCGATAAAGCAAATTGCGTAGATAAAGCCAAATATGGACAAGAATTTGTCGGTTTCCAAAATGGCAACCCTGTCGTTTTGTCTCAGTCCACCGATGCAGCTAGTTATAATAATAATTATAGTATTAACTATCAACTTATGAGCCATAACGAAAAAGTGCAAAATATGTCAACTAATTCCCATGATACCTTAGTTGCTTCATACTTTGAAGGAGAGAGATCAGCGGATGACGACGTAGAAGGAACAAACAAGGAGGAGAGAGTTACATATTACTCAAAACCTACCAATTTTGGACATACAAAAGCTGATGAGGATAATGGAAGAGGGAAGGAATATTATATTTCCCGTAATACCAGATCACGTATCGTTTGGAATTTGGAACGACGTCGCAAGTTCTCTGACGCCCTCAACAAGCTAGGTGATAAATGTAATTTCACCTATCTCACGTGTTATTTTTATTTTTTTTTTAGGATTTGAATTCAATGAAGCATTTCTAATTGTTGTTATTATGTTTTCTTTTGATTTTGAAGGTCGCCCAAAACTTATACTTAAGTTGATGAATGAGCCATGCTTGACCCTGCGCCAAGTAGCCAACCACCTACAGGTATTATTCTATCAAGTTTGCTTACTATTTGCACACTACGTATTTCGGTATTTATGAATAAATGAATAATTATTGCTCCTAAACCTATCAGAAATACAAAGCACAAGTAGAGTCCATAAGAAAGGGGAGAAAAAATAAATTAGCTCCAAGGATGGAAGCATCCAAATTCGATTGCTCAGTCACGACTCAACTTCCTCCGTCGGTGCAAAGGCACCAGAATCATGAGGCAAACAATTCTATACAGCAGAATCACGAGGCAAACAAATCTACACAGCAGAATCACGAGACAAACAAATCTACACAGGGAGGTTCAACCTCTCTTTCAGGAGGGAAAAGATTCCGACTTATTGCTCCTAAGCCTCCGCTTAATCCTAGACTGCTTGTTAGCGCCAACTTTGTAAATCATGGTCTTAGAATGCTTGACCACAATTTTCAGCATGTTGCTTCAAACTACAATTCAGTTCCATATAACATCAATAAGACGACTCCAGAGGTAACTTCTTATCGTGCATTTGATGAAATTCAGTTCCCAGATATACATCAAGTTGATGCAGCTCAGCAACTAGAAGCAATGGAATTTTGTGGTACATCAGAAGGGATTCAGTTGATGTCAAAGAACATCGCTTTACCTGGTTCAACCAACTTGGACAATATTGCTGCAAATTTTGGAAATGAAGGAATCCAACAACAATTTGCAGAATATGATTATCTCTTAAATGTTTTAGAAGACGATCCATACGACTTTCGCAACGACTTTAGTCTGAGTGATGTAGATAAATACAGCGAGTGGCTAAGGAACACTATTCTCGAAGACGAAAGCGGTCTAGATAGCTTTATCAATGACGAAGCAGAAAACTTTCCAGTTGAAATCAATCCATAAATAGGTATGTTTTACTTCTGCAATGTTCTCAATGCCATAAAAATCTTTGATAAACTAAAAGTTAAAGATTTATTCTTAGTTGCAGGTTGAAGAGTCTTAAGAAGCGGGATAAACAGTCTAACTCTCAAAACAAATATATACGAGAGACTAAGAATTAGAATATCATATATTAGAATTGAGCTCAATATCTTCAACAAACTTAAAGCAAGACTTTCTTCCGGTTCAAAATTGAAGATTCAATCTCGAGAACAAAGACCACATTTCTTTAAAAGTTTCATTAAAAAAAAAAAAAAAAAAAAAAAAATATATATATATATATATATATATATATATATATATTTACATATATATAAAATATCTAATAAAAAAAATCAAACAATTCAAATATATAAAATATTATTGTAGAATTCAAAATCATAAAATACTTATAATTATATTTTATTAAAAAATCAGTGAAATAAGTATACACAATTTATTTGATCCACAAATAATTTTCAAAATTTTCTAAATAAATTCATAGAAGTGGTAAAATGTGTAGAAGGATTATAATAACATTTACACTTCATTTTTTTAATTTTAATCATTTTTTAACTAACACTCTCATTCATTGGATATTATTATTTATAGAGGAAAAAGAGTTGTTGATCAAACCCTAATTTAATTTTATTATTTATAGCTAATCAAATTCAAAACTAAATCTATTTTTATTAATTAAAATATTAAAATATTACAATTAAATAAACTTGAGAATAAAATAAATACTATATTAATAAAAATATGTCTATACTTTATCTATATACTTTTAAAAATTTAAAAAAAAAAATTTAAACTTAATTTTTTTAAAAAAATATAGTTTATTTCAAAAATAATGTTTAATAATATTTCAAAAATACCATTCATTAATACACTTCAACCTTTGAATAAAAGTTCAAAAATACTCAAAGAAAATTTTAAAATAGCATTAACACTCTTCACATTTTACAAGAAAATTTTAATTTTTTAACCATTTAGACATCTAAGAGATTATTTCCAAATTTTTAAAAACTCATTTTGAAACATTTGGTAAGTTTAATGATATTTTTGGATTTTTTTTTTGAAAGTTTAACTATATTTTTGAAAAAAAAAATTAAGAATATTTTTTAGATTTTTCTTAAAAATAGAAGGCTATTATTAAACCTATTTTTCAAAAACAAAATACAGTTGAAAGATTATTTTTATTAATTTTAACCGAGTGGAACCTAAAAAGTTAAGAGAGGTTTGAATCTCAACTAATTTCTTAATACAAAATGAGTTCAACATTTAGATTCTTTGTGATAAATGAGAAATGATCTTAAATTTAGAAGTGGTCATTGGGTTGCTGATTCTCTTCCTAGCTTTGCCAAAAATCTTTGTATCTACCGGGTGGGTCATGAACCCTTGTCTCTCAACCACTCGACTTCATTCCTTGAGCAACACTTTCAATGATAAATCATGAACCCCTTCTCTCTCAAGCACTTGACTTCATTGCTTGAACAACACTCTTAATCTTGCTGGTGGATCATGAACCCTTATCTCTCAAGCAGTTGACTTCATTGCTTGAGCAACACTCTAACAATGGTGAAGAGAACCACAATATTTTCATTAATCTATTTAGTTATCCTAATTTTAATTTTTTAAGCAATGGTCTCAAGCGAATGTTATGCTTCTTTTTGTATATGGTAACATGTGGCAATATATAAGTGTAGTCTTCAAAAGAAATTCAGGGTTTCTGTTTATGAAATTGTTATGGATTATGATGTATTTATTATATATTTGTTGTAACGTTATTATATCACAATTTATATATATTTTTTTTAATTTTATTATATATAATATCTCTAAACTTAATTTCTTTCCCTTTAACCCATTTTAAAAAAGGATCTATAACGAGTTGTGTATTTAGTTCTCTTTTTTATGACAATATTGAAAGTTACCCCTTTTTGCTCGTTGTTCTTGATTGAATTTTTTTTTTTTAAATAATTATAGATTGATTTGTGTTGGTGAACTTTTAATATCTTTTATCGAAGATTGTATCTAATTGTGGATAAAACAATTTTTTTCTAAAAAAAATAATTTTTTTAACAACTCGACAACCTAACCTGAAACTAGAGGGTTATAGAAGGTTGAGTTGAAAATTTTCGGATTGAGTTGGGTTACCAATCAAACCAATTTTGGGTTTGGTAAAAAAAAATTCCTCAACTCAACCCAAACAATGTACACCCCTAGTATTAACAATTATACTTCATCCTATTTTTAATTTTAATCATCTTTTAACCATGACCCGGTAGACCCTAATTTAATCTTGTTATTTATACCTAATCAAATTCAAAATCAAATCAAGTTTTATTAATTGAAAATTGAAATATTAAAATTAAAAAAATATGCCTAGAACTTTATCTAAAAAAAAATACTCGACTTTCCAAAGTTTAAATAACAACTTTAAACTAAAAAAAAATTAAAAAATATAGTTTATTTAAAAATACTTTTCAATTTTAATGGTGTTTCAAAAATATCATTCATTAATACTTTTCAACTCTTAAAAGAGTTCAAAAATACTCTTACCATTACTATTATGTTTAAAATAAATATTATCATTTCTAGTACTTTTCAACTAAAAAAAAAGTTCAAAAATACTCATAAAACCTTAAAAGTAGCATTAACACCCTTCACCCTTATAAGAAAATTTTAATTTTTTTATTTTTTTTTATGATCTATCGACATCTCATAGATTACCTCCAAATTTTTAAAAATGGTACTCTTGAAACATTTTCAAAAGTTTAATGATATTTTTGAAACTTTTATTTTAAGGATGTTTTTGAAAAAAAAACAATTAATGCTTTTCATTAACAACTGTATTTCCTTTTTTTTTTTTAATTTAAGAGTATTTTTTAAATTTTCTTAAAAAAAATGAAAGAGTAACATCAAAATTTAATATTTTAAACAAAATAAAAGTGTATTTTTTTTTATTAGTTTTGAATGAAAGGATTGGATGTTAAAAGAGGTTTGAATCTCAACTAACTTCTTTATACAAAATTAGTTAAAAAATTTGAATTGTATGAGATGAGAGAGAAATCTGGGAGGAGGGGCAAGCAAGAGGTGAAAGTCAAAGGTACAGCAGAGTAGTTCCACTGCATGCCCAATTTCAAAGGGAGAGGGAAAGCTACAAAGTGAGATTAGAAATAGAGAGCGGAAAAAAGGTAGAAGTAAGTGAAAGAAATTAATTCAAAGATTTAAATGGTGTGGGATGAAAGAGAAATTTGGGAAGAGGGGCCATAAGTAAAAGTGAAAGGTAGAGAAATTTGGGAAGAGGGGGAGATGCTAGGTGAAAGTGAGAGGTGGAGAGCAAGTAACCACAAGCTAGATTGAGGTGAAAGTTAGAGGTGCAAAGTTCATTACATGGAACAACTAGAGTTCATCACATATAACTCCTCGTTTGGGCTAGAAAGCCACAAAGTGAGATTAGAAAAAGAAAGGAAAGTGGGCTAGAAGTAACTACCATCTAGATTGAGGTGAAAGTCAAACAAATTAGTTCAAGATTTGAATTGAGTAGAATGAGAGAGAAATCTAGCATAGGGACCGGGATTGTGTGGGATGAGAGAGAAATTAGTTAAATTGTGCGAGATGAAAGAGAAATCTAGGAAGAGGGACCATATAGAGTAAGAATTACGTGGATGAAAGAGAAATCTGGTAAGAGAGATCACAACTAATCTAGAGTATAAATTATATAGGATGAGAGAGAAATATGGGAAGAGGGATCACAATTAATAGAGTATAAATTATATGGGATGAGAGAGAAATATCTGGAGAGGGACCAAAGTAAAATAGAATTAGGTGGGATGAGAGAGAAATCTCTTAAGAGAGATAACAAGTAACTACACTTTGTGTGATGAGAGAGAAATCTCATAAGAGGGATAACAAGTAACTACACTTTGTGGGATGAGAGAGAAATGTGGGAAGAGAGACTAAGAGTAAAGGAGGAATTATGTGAGATGAGAGAGAAATGTGTGAAGAAAGACTAGAAGTAAATAGGAATGATGAAATCTGGGAAGAGAGGAAAAAGTAACTGAATATGAATTAGGTGGGATGAGAGAGGAATCTGGGAAGAGAGACAAAAGCAACTATAGAATAGAATTAAGTGGTATGAGAGAGAAATATGGGAAGAAGGATAGGAGTAAACTAGGAATTATGTGAGATGAGAGAGAAATGTAGGAAGAGAGATATAAGTAAATAGGAATGATGTAGGATGAGAGAGAAATCTGGGAAGAGGGGAAAAAGTAATATAGAATATGAATTAAGTGGGATAAGAGAGAAATCTGGGAAGAGGGACAAAAGTAACTATACAGTGAGTGGTATGAGAGAGAAATCTAGGAAGAAGGATGATAGAAATCTGGGAAGAGGGACAAAAGTAACTGCACATAGAATTAAATGGTATGAGAGAGAAATCTAGGAAGAAGGATGATAGAAATGTGTAAAGATGGATCACAAGTAACTATAAGTAGGAATGATGAGAGAGAAATCGGGGGAAGATCGTGGGATGTGAGAAGAGAGACTAGTAAGAATGATGTGAGATGAGAGAGAAATGTGGGGAGAGAAATTTGGAAAGATTGTGGGATGAGAGAGAAATGTGGGAAGAGAGACTAGAAGTAAAGTAGAAATTATGTGAGATGAGAGAGAAATGTAAGAAGAGAGACTAGAAGTAAAATAGGAATTACGTGAGATGGGAGAGAAATGTGGGAAGAGAGATGAGAAGTATATAGGAATGATGTGGGATGAGAGAGGAATCTGGTTGAAAAGGTAACTATAGAATAGGAATTAAGTGGGATGAGAGAGAAATCGGAGAAGAGGGACAAAAGTAACTATAAAATAGAAATTACTCGTGATGAGAGAGAAATCTGAGAAGATGGATAGTAGGAATTATATGGGATGAAAGAAAAATATGTGAAGATGGAATAGAAGTGACTAGAGTAAGAATTATACAGGATGAGAGAAAAATCTGTGAGGATGGACCAAAAGTAACTTTAGGTGAGATGAGAGAGAAAAGAAAAATATGTGAAAATGAAATAGAAAACGTGGGATGAGAGAGAAATTTGAGGAAAGAGATAGAAATAACTATAGAGTAGAATTAGATGGAATGAGAGAGAAATCTGAGAAGAGGGAGGAGGATTACAAATAAGAATTGAGTGGTATGAGAGAGAAATTTGTGAAGATAGGATTGAATAACTCTAGGTAGGAA